AAAGGAGGCGCGTCGGAAATTCAAACAGATCGTCACAGCTGTCTATTTTTGTCACTGTCGGAACATTGTTCATCGTGATTTAAAAGCTGAAAATTTACTTCTAGATGCCAATCTGAATATCACAATAGCAGATTTTTGTTTCAGTAACCTCTTCACCCCTGGGCAGCTGCTGAAGACATGGTGTGGCAGCCCTCCCTGTGCTGCACCTGAACTATTTGAAGGAAAAGAATATGATGGGCCCAAAGTGGACATCTGGAGCCTCAGAGTTGTCCTGTATGTGCTTGTGTGCAGTGCCCTGCCGTTTGATGGGAGCAGAATGGGCGGGCCTGTGTGCTGAGTGGACAGTCCCCGATCGCATTTTTTTTTCTAAGGAAGAAAGGAGGGAGGAACAAGAATGTGCAGTGAAGAGAAGAAAGAAGATAGCAGAAAAACCATCAGGACATCCTTAACCAAAGGTAGAACCATGCAAGGGTCCAACCAAATTATATTTATTTTTCTCATGATGAAGACTTTCTCATGTTGGCCTTAGCTCAGCAAATTTTTGTTGTTGCCTATGTCATTTATTGCATTATAAGTTGCAAATTGATGATTTTCTAGTTACCACATTTCTTTTATATGTATTAGCTGGAATGCTTCTGAGAAAAAAAAAACACTTTATATTATTAACTGGTACTTTTGGTTACCTTGAAAATATTTTTGAAAGTGAAAAGCACACAGAGTTTAGAATTATCACACTTTCAAGGTGATTAGCCTCAGAAAAATGTTTTTTTCTTGATCTTTGGAGTAAGCATAACCACCTTCACTTCAAGTACACTGGCCACAAGCCAACAGCTACTCCATGTCTCTGATTTTAAGGCTTCAGTATTCTTAGAACAAAACCCACAGAAACTTGGGCATTTTCCTAAACCTGTCTTAGATTTTGAGTTATTGCCAGACGTGTTAAATTATTTATTGTAATTCATAGAGAGTATATAATTATGAACTTGGCAAGGCTAGAAGAGAAAAGTAAAGAGACGGTTTCTTTTTCTTTTTCTTTCTTTCTTTTTTTTTAAATTGCATTTTAGGTTTTGGGGTACATGTGAAGAACATGCAAGATTGTTGCATAGGTACACACATGGCAGCACGATTTGCTGCCTTCCTCCGCCTATATCTGGCATTTCTTCCCATGCTATCTCTCCCCAACTCCCCACCCCCCGCTGTCCCTCCCCTATTTCCCCCCAACAGACCCCAGTGTGTAGTGCTCCCTTCCCCATGTTCATGTGTTCTCATTGTTCAGCACCCGCCTATGAGTAAGAACATGCGGCGTTTGATTTTCTGTTCCTGTGTCAGTCCGCTGAGAATGATGGTTTCCAGGTTCATCCATGTCCCTACAAAGGACATGAACTAATCGTTTTTGATGGCTGCATAATATTCCATGGTGTATATGTGCCACATTTTCCCTGTCCCACCTATCATCGATGGGCATTTGGGTTGGTTCCAGGTCTTTGCTATTGTAAACAGTGCTGCAATGAACATTTGTGTGCATGTGTCCTTATAGTAGAACGATTTATAATCCTTTGAATTATAAATCCGCATCCCATTTTTTATAGTAGAATGATTTATAATCCTTTGGATTATAAATCCATATCCCGTTTTTTATGTCCACAGAATGTGAGCATTTGATCCGCCATATGCTGGTGTTAGACCCCAATAAGCGCTTCTCCATGGAGCAGATCTGCAAGCACAAGTGGATGAAGCTAGGGGACACTGATCCCAACTTTGACAGTTTAATAGCTGAATGCCAACAACTAAAGGAAGAAAGACAGGTGGACCCCCTGAATGAGGATGTCCTCTTGGCCATGGAGGACATGGGACTGGACAAAGAGCGGACACTGCAGTCATTAAGATCTGATGCCTATGATCACTGTAGTGCAATTTACCGCCTGCTGTGTGATCGACGCAAGAGACATAAAACCCTGCATCTTGGAGCACTTCCTAGCATGCCCCAAGCCATGGCCTTTCAAGCACCAGTCAATATCCAGGTGGAGCAGGCAGGTACCGCTATGAACATCAGCATTCCCCAGTGCAGCTGATCAAATTGTGGAGCCAGATGGGACACTGAATTTGGACAGTGATGAGGGTGAAGAGCCTTCCCCTGAAGCACTGGTGTGCTATTTGTCCATGAGGCAGCACACAGTGGGTGTGGCTGACCCATGCATGGAAGTTATGGAAGATCTGCAGAAGCTCCTACCTGGCTTTTTTGGAGTCAACCCACAGGCTCCATTCCTGCAGGTGGCCCCTAACATGAACTTCATGCATAACCTGTTGCCTATGCAAAATTTACAACCAACTGGGCAACTTGAGCACAAGGAGCAGCCTCTCCTACAGCCGCCCACGCTACAGTTGTTGAATGGAATGGTCCCCCTTGGCCGGAGAGCATCAGACGGAGGAGCCAACATTCAGCTGCATGCCCAGCAGCTGCTGATGCACCCACGGGGACCCTCTCCGCTTGTCACCATGACACTAGCAGTGCCAGCAGTTACCCCTGTGGACGAGGAGAGCTCAGATGGGGAGCCAGATCAGGAAGCTGTGCAGAGCTCTACCTACAAGGACTCCAACACTCCGAGCCTCCTTATGGAGCATTTCCTCCTTGTGCGCTGGTTCTCAGATGGGGCTGTGAGTATCCAGACCTTCAAAGCTCACCTGGAAAAAATGGGCAACAGCAGCAGCATCAAACAGTTGTAGCAGGAGTTTGAGCAGCTGCAGAAGATGTACGGGGTGCAGATTGATGAAAGAATCCTGGAGAAGACCCAGCAGCAGCATATATTATACCAGCAGGAGCAGCACCATCAAATTCTCCAGCAACAAATTCAAGACTCTATCTGTCCTCCTCTGCCATCTTCACCTCTTCAGGCTGCATGTGAAAATCAGCCAGCCCCCTCACCCACCAGCTCCAGAGGTTAAGGATTCAGCCTTCAAGCCCACCCCCCACCCACCCCAACAACCATCTCTTCAGGCAGCCCAGTAATAGTCCTCCCGCGATGAGCAGTGCCATGATCCAGCCTCACAGTGCTGCATCTCCCTCCCAGCTTCAAGGCTTACCGTCCAGCAGTGCAATCTTCCAGCAGCAGCCTGAGAACTGTTCCTCTCCTCCCAACGTGGCACTAACCTGCTTGGGCACGCAGCAGCCTGCCCAATCACAGCAGGTCACCATCCAATAGCCTGTTGAAATGCTCAGCAACATGCCAGGCACAGCTGCAGGATCCAGTGGGCAGGGCATCTCCATCAGCCCCAGTGCCAGTCAGATGCAGATGCAGCACCGTACCAACCTGATGGCCACCTTCAGCTATGGGCACCGTCCCTTGTCCAAGCAGCTGAGTGCTGACAGTGCAGAGGCTCACAGCTTGAATGTGAATCGGTTCTCCCCTGCTAACTACGACCAGGCGCATTTACACTCCCATCTGTTCTCAGACCAGTCCTGGGGTTGCCCCAGCACCTACAGCCCTTCAACAGGACTGGGGTTCTCTCCAACCCAAGCCCTGAAAGTCTCTCCACTTGACCGATTCCCCAGCTTCCTTCCCAGTGCACATCAGCAGCCGCCACACTATACTGTATCAGCACAACAGCAAGCCCTGCTGTCCCCCATGCCACCAGACTATACAAGACACCTGCAGGTACCCCACATCCTTCAAGGACTGCTCTCTCCATGGCATTTGCTCACTGGACACTCGGACATCCTGCTGCCCCCAGCAGAGTTTGCACAGCTCATTAAAAGGGGCAGCAACAATGGCAGCAGCAGCAGCAACAGCAAAAATACCAGGAACTGTTCAGGCACATGAACCAAGGGGATGCGGGGAGTCTGGCTCCCAGCCTTGGGGGACAGAGCAGGACAGAGTGCCAGGCTTTATCTTATCAAAATACTGACTCTTACCACCATCACACCAGCCCCCAGCATCTGCTACAAATCAGGGCACAAGAATGTATCTCACAGGCTCCCTCAGCCACCCTGCCCCATGGTTCATCAGCCGGCAGTGATGCATTCAGAGAGCATGGAGGAGGACTGCTCGTGTGAGGGGGCCAAGGATGGCTTCCCAGACAGTAAGAGTGCAAGTACATTGACCAAAGGTTGCCATGACAGCCCTCTGCTCTTGAGTACTGGTGGATCTGGGGACCCCGAATCTTTGCTAGGAACTGTGAGTCACACCCAGGAACTGGGGATACATCCCTGTGGACATCAGCCAACTGCTGCATTCAGTAAAAATAGGGTGCCCAGCAGAGAGTCTGTCATAGGGAACTGCATGGATACAAGTTCTCCAGGACAAGCAGTGGAGCTGCAGGATCACAACGGGCTCGGGTACCCAGCACACCCCTCCGTCCAGGAGCACCACAGGCCCGGGGCCCTCCAGAGACACCACACGATCCAGAACAGCGACGATGCTTATGTACAGCTGGATAACTTGCCAGGAATGAGTCTTGTGGCTGGGAAAGCACTTAGTTCTTCCCAGATGTCAGATGCAGTTCTCAGCCAGTCTTTGCTCATGGGCAGCCAGCAGTTTCAGGATGGGGAAAATGAGGAATATGGGGCAAGCCTGCGAGGTCATGAGCACCCAGACCTGAGTGATGGCAGCCAGCACTTAAACTCCTCTTGCTATCCCTCTACCTGTATTACAGACATTCTGCTCAGCTACAAGCACCCCGAAGTCTCCTTCAGCATGGAGCAGGCAGGCGTGTAACAAGAAACAGAGAGTTGTGTGTACAGCTTGGGAATGAAAAGGTTGATTGAAACCCCACAGTATCTAGCAGCGCTGTGCCAAATTCCCCTTGTGATTCTCTCCACCCAGAATATCACAGCTCCTCTCCTCACATTTGGTTCATCCGCGTGCTGGTCCTTTAGGTTCTGAGATGGTTTTGCCATGTTTGCTTGTATGACCAAGTCACCAAGGAAATAAACTGGAAATCCATGTTCTTCATCTTTTATGAAAGTAAATATATACATATATATATATATGTTATTTTTTTTATGTTCCACATTTTATTTTGTTTTCAAGTTACATTTCAAGAAAAGGTCATTTTTTCCCCTCAGCAATATCTCGAAATTCCTCAGATGTTTTTGTTTGTTTTTTGTCCATATTCATACGTTTATAGAGCTCATATGTCAAAAACTTCACACAGTGACACCATTAGCCCCTGGCCCACCCATCTCTTTCCCACTTCTGTTCCACCCTGCTTACACCCTGGCACACAAAGGTTGATCAAAGGCAGCGGCCACCTCAGACTAGCACAGTGCCAGTCCTGCAGGGGAGAGGGTCCTGACAGGGTGAGGGTGAGGCTCCCACAGCCCAAGACAGGTCCCAGACCTTGTCCCACCCAGTGAAGACAAAGGGGCCTCAGGTCCCCAAACTTAGCTCACGTAAGAGCAACCGCCCACCATTGCACCTGCCATGCCACCTTGTATGGGCATGACCCTGGCCCAGCAGTGCAGCAGGCTGAGGGCTTGGCGGGCTCAGGCCCCAGAGCTGAGGGTAGTGGGTGCAGAGTAGCGCTGGCGGGCGAGCTTCTCACAGTACAGCTCCTGGCCCACCCAGAAGTGTCCACGCATCTTCAGGTTCAGCCCACAGTCGGGGCAGGTGCAGCAGCCGGGGTGGCGGTACCAGCCCTCCTGGATGCGCACGGCCTGGTTCGCGATGCTGGTGCTGCACTTCTCACAGGTGTGGAGCGTGGCGGGGCGGCCAGGGCCCTGGAGGCGGGCAGGGAGGACTGAGGGCCCAGCAAGCTGGGCAGGAAGGCTGGCATGCCACCTTTCTCCTCAGCCTCCAGGGCTTCCTGCAAGAGCCGAAAGGAGCTGGACTGTCGGGGGGCCGCCCGTCCCTCACGATTTTCCTGCAGCATCTTGAAGACTTCCGAGTCCTCGTCCAGGAGGAGGCTGCCCCCTTCCGAGCTCACGCTGGGCCTGGAGGAACAACGGCCAGGGCCGGGGAAGGCGGCAGCACCGGCACCGCCGAGTTGGCTTCCGGGACAGGCAGTCAGCGGCGGGGCGGCCCGGGGAACACGAAACACTCTGGAAGCTGCGGCCGGCGGCCGCCTCTCCAGCCAGGGGGCTGCTGGCGGGTGGCGGGGGGCAGGGGCTGCCGGCCCTCGGGCTGAGGGAGGCTGGGCTGGAGTAGGAGGACCTTTGGGAGGACTGACTCTCAGTGTGTGTCCTCACGGAGCCCTGGAAGCGAGTCGCCAACACTTCCAAGGAGCCGTCCCCATTGGTCTGCCCTGGAGATGCAGCCTGAGACCGTCCGCTGCCACCGCAGGGGTGAGCGGCTCTGGCGGATCTTGCTCTGGGTCTCGGCGTGCAGCATTCCCTCCGCGCTTTCCCGGTTGATGGCCACGATGACGTATCCAGGCTGGAGGTCAGCAGCCTTGGCTTTGCCCTGCTCAGCCACCTTGGTCACCGTGATAGGGTGTGAAAATCCCTGCCCCTTGTGATACGGAGGCCCCAGGGAGCCGGCCTGGCCACATCCACCGTCAGCACCATACCTGGAGACCAGGCTGTAAGGCCCAGGAGAGGACAGCCAAGGAGGGGACACAGGTGACAGCTCAGGGAGGAGGAGCTGTACCTGGCGACCCCCTCCCCGGGGACCTCAGGCCCATGGAGCTGCCTCTCGTGTCTCCACAAATAATTATCAGAATGGGTCAATGATTACAAGTGTGAAACTATGTAAACTAAAATAATTGTCAGCATTTTTGTAAATCCCAGGGACCCAGTTTGGTCTCTCATTTTTATATCTTCCTTGAAGACCCATGAATTACAGCTGAGGCAATCTCACCGTTAATGAATGTTCCTAATCTCAGCACACACGAGATTGCAATGAAACTAAGATTCTTAGTCCTCAAAACTCTGCCCTTTATTCATTTAGTCAGTCACTGAACTAATATTTACTTAGCACTCATGTGATGTCTGGGCACAAGAGAAACAGCAGTACATAAAGTCCCTGCCCTCAAGAAGCTTACATTCAAATGGAAGGAAACCAACAATAAATAAATATATAATTAAATGTATAATATGTCAAATAAGTCCTGTGGAGGAAATCTAAGCAAGGAGAATTGACAGGGAATACCCGAAGCACTGGAGGGAGAAGTTGCCACTTTACACAGGATGATGGGGTGATTGCAAAAGGTCCTATATAACACTCCAGAAGAAACTGAGGTTCATTCTGAGTGTAGAGAAATAGTAAGGATACAGAGACAACATGGAAATAGTGAGGCCATGCCTGGGTAGAAAGGTCGCTAATGTGGTATGAAGGACTCTAAGCTGGTAGCTCTTCAATCCCTGAGCCCTAAGGGCTTAACTGAAGTCTCAGTTTCTAAACAGTTGCAATAGTTTAGTTAGACATATGAGAGTCAGAATTCTACCAGAATGGAGACATTTAGCAATAATTGGAATGTCTGAGAGACAGAAGGCCTGGAACGAAACATGGTTCTGGAAGTGAAAACAGAAGCTAGGGTCCATGATTCCCAAAGGAAAGCAAATTTAGACCTTATGATGAACCTTATGGTCCTGACACTATATCACAGGAGCTTTTGTGACTTGGCTGCGGGTTGTCAGAAGTAGTGAGATTACATGATCATTCTACTAATAAATCCACAATGGAGAGGCTGGTAGATGTGGAGTTACAAGACATCTGAATAGGCACATGGGAGCCCCAAAATTTTTGTCATAACTTGGGTCCTGATTTTCTCAGATAAATATTTGGTACATTTACCAAGTGTCCATGCATCGGTAAATAGATTAGGAAGGCAGAAATTATGAGATAGACTGTGAAATGGAAATGTAGGTGAAATCATGGCATAATAATGGACAGCCAGGAAAAGAATAACAAGTATTTATACAATCTTTCCGGGTGTCAAGAATGACTACATGAATAACATGTAACTTTGGGTAAATGTTAGTATGTCCACATCATACCTCTTCCTACTTTCCTACAATCATTTAATTCATATACATTTTATATACTTTGAGAATTCTAAGGTGATTTCCTATACTCTCTCTCTGCCTTAAAAAGAAAACAGAAAAATTCCCCCTGAGCTAATAAAATCAAGGGAGACAGTTACTTTCTTCCTGCTGATGGACTGATTTATTGATTTAATTCATTTTTTGATACAGGGTCTTGCTTTGTCACCCAGGCTGGAGTACAGTGGCAAGATTATAGCTCACTGCAGCCTCTATCTTCTGAGCTCAAGTGACCCTCAGCCTTCTGAATAGCTAGGTCTACAGGCATGCACCAACACACCTGGCTAATTTTTAAAATCTTTTAGTAGAGATGGGGTCTTGCTATATGTCTCAGGCTGGTCTCGAACTCCTGGCCTCAAGTGATCCTCTCACCTCAGCCACACAGGCATTCTCACTGATTTATGAAAGACTTCTTTATATAGTATAATTACAAAACATGGTCTGTTTCATAGAAAGAATACAGGTTTGTGTATACACCAGCATTGCAACATTTAATTAAGTTAAACCGTAATCTCTTTGATGAGTAGCCCATAGATTGCTACACAAAATGTAAGCGATATTGACTAAAAAAATACATATCGTTTAATAAGGATTCCTTTAAAAAGTAATTATAATACAAAATTTTGGCCATGTTTAAATTTCAGTTATAGGTACAAAATTTGGGGGTTTGCTTGACTAAATTTTAGCCATTGAAGCAGTCAGTCATCCACATATATCCTTCAGATCAACTCCCACTAGGGAAAGCAAGCTGCTAAGAGTCCATGGCAATGCTTCAAACCGCAATGAGTCAAGGCAGTTTTTTATATTATTTGAACAGTGCTCCAGGTCATTGTAATTTCATGAATAGTAATCCTATTTAAAAATATGTTGCAGGCGCAAGGTGCCTGCTGGGAGAGAGCAGCTATACACGACCAGATCAATATGCATTGTGTGCTTTCAACCATTCAATAATCGATTCACCCTTGTTATGAGAAAATAAATGCCAAAGTCCCCAAAGTTAATTTCTGAAGAAAGCATTTACAAGGCTACCAGATTATTAAAAGTTTCCATGGGTTTTGGATAAAGAAAATGTGGCACATATATGCCATGGAATACTATGCAGCAATAAAAAAGGATGAGTTCATGTCCTTTGCAGGGACATGGATGAAGCTGGAAACCATCATTCTCAGCAAAGAACAGAAAACCAAACACTGCATATTCTCATTCATAAGTGGGTGTGGAACAATGAGAACACGTAGACATGGTTTTATGAAGGACTGAATCTGTGCAGCATAATTGCAAACATTAAATTGGCATATAAAAGCATTCCAGGCTCGCATCTCTGTTGTCCATGTTTTGCTGCTTTTATAGCAGTATTCTTACCAGGCTGTAATTCYTTCAGGGAACCTTAAACACTATCTTTCATTAAACTGGATTTCAGAGGACTGTCTTATGCATTGTGCACCCCATTTTTCTGTCAGCCAGCTAAGCTCTCAGTGCATCATATTGCCACATCAATGAGTTTTGTGGATTAGAAATCAAACCAGAGAACTATACACATCAGAGCACCAAATGTAATGCATGACTCTTACTCACCTGACTTCAGTCAAGATAATGTGAGATAATGTGAGTGGTAGACGGGATTCATTTTCTTGGATCCCAATCACATTGCCATAAACAGAAAATGATTAAAAGTTCATGTCAGTGAGTGAATATACTTGCTCACTGAAGTTACTAAACTTAACTTTCTCAAATCTTCTTTCTTAGAAGGTTACTACATAAATTTAAATGGCATAGAACCTATAAATAAAGATGAACACGTTTAGGGTTTCACCTGATTCATAACAAACCCACTCTGATGTTAAAACAGTCCAAAACCACTCAAGCTAGTGATCTAGGCAGCTTTAGGAAAGTTAATATTTTGGCACTTGCTCATCTGCCATCAAGTTCAATCAGGATTCCCAACCCTGCTATTTTAATGGCTCAAAACTTTGATTTTAACTCCCTCTAGATTAAGAAAGCAGATGTTCTATTCTGCTATCTACCCGAACTGAAGTTAATTAAATTCTTTCTTGTAACTAAATGAGCAAAAATCTAAAATTAACAACTACTTTAATTCTTCTGTGTGTCATCTTTTATTGTAATCTGCTTGTTGAATAGGCATTGTTTAGCAAATTTTTACCTGGTTATGGAGAACTAGTTTCATCTGAGCTTGATGTGGTGTTACTTTTATGCTTACAAAGGTCAAGTTGCTTCCGTAATCCTCAAAGGGGACACTAAATTCATCTCATCCTAACTAGGCAAAGAGAGTGCCCAGTGCCATTCATCAAAATAATCAAGTGTTGACTGTTTTCCTCACACTTTGGGTAAAAAGCAAGGTCAAGAAAAATTAGACCTAGTGATTATTTGTTGATTTTGCAGCCTAGCATCTACCCCACTTCCTGTGGTAATGATGATTCCACTCTCATTCTATTCTTCTATTTTGATCTAGTAAAACTGAATCTATCTCCAGGTATGAAATGCATAATTTATACTTAGGCAATCAGAATTTTGCAACTGCTCAGCCACAGGATTGGTTCGGGAAAGTCACAAGATCCACATTAGATCAATGATGGCAAAAGGTCTCAAATCTAAAAAGCAGTTTTCCCTTCCCACTAAAATTGGTTTTGTGATGCTAATAATTTGGTACTCCTGGAGAAATGAGGCCAACACAGAGAACACACAGCTAAGGGATGAGAGAAAGTTGAATTCTGATGACAGTTTTTCAGCCCATGAACCCAGTTGCACTCTAGGACCTTTCAGTAAGGTCAGCCATACTGTCCCACATTTTCTTTCACGTGCAATGGGCAAAACATTTGTCTTCATAATTATAAGACAAACAGTTCTCGAAATTCACTCTGGTAAAGATAGGGACATTACCCATTACATAAAACATTACATCGTGGTGCAAGAAACAGAAATAAAATACTGTTTTATTCACTTTTTATTTTTTTTTTATTTTTATTTTTTAAGAGATGGGGTTTCACCACTTTGTCCAGGTTGGTCTTGAACTCCTGACCTCAGGTCATCCTCCCACCTTGGCCTCCCAAAGTGCTGGGATTACAGACATGAGCCACCACGCCTGGCTCACTTTTTAAAAAGAGGAAAAAGGTGTCTATCAGAGAAATTTAACTGCTTTTCTTAGTTTACAGTTAATTCTTATTTTTCCTCCAAATCTTAACACTTTTGGAAATATCAGTTGTAAGTAACACACAATTTACCTGGCAATGGCAATACATTTATGTATTATTTATTGTGAGCCCACGATGTTATTTGTCTGTGAATAAAGAAAAAATGAGACATACCCCAGTTCTCAGGGAGATTGCATTCAAGTGGGAGATACTGAAAAGAATCAAGTAGAAGTATTTGATTCATGGTACCTGTTTGTTTCAAAATAAATTTTAATAAAATAAAACATAGTAAAAAATGGTATTGGACAATTCTAAAATTAAGTAGTAAAGCAAATTCCTCATCTTTTGTTTCATCAGCAAGCCCTGATCAGGTAGTGAAGTCTGAGCAAAATTAAATTTTGCTTTATTCAGGCCACTATGATAGCTATTGCTGTGAATTACTTAGATCATCCATCGATTTCTCTTTTAGCAATATTACCTCCAGGGTCATGTTCATGACTCATGTTTTTATCAGCACTGGAAGTACAACCAATACAAATTAAGGTCATAACTTGAATTAATATAAACATCTTCTCTTAAATGTATAACAACATGCCAACATTAGTATGATGCTAGAAAGGGTACAACTTTCAATTCCTTTGAAATATATCTCTCAGTACTAGCACACCAGGAAACAGGTAAACGGTCTCTTTAGAAATCTACCCACATTACTAAATTATAAATGATTCAGGCAAACTTTTCATAACACAAATTTCTCTTATTATCTTCTCTAATCTTCATACTCTTAAGAACATTCTACCCTCTCCCTCCAAAAAAACTTACTTGTTTTAAGTATTTGTACATCACATATAAGCTATTTGCACTAATGAAGATGACAGATAATTTAACACTTAGGACCTTTTAGACTGAACTCTATTTCACTTTTCAAAGACAGACAAATTAATTCACCTCTTCTAGGATCAGTCTCTTTATCTATAAAGGGAATAATAATAACTGATCTGACTGAGGAAAAAAAGAAATGAAACAAAATATGTGAAGCACTTAGAAAGGACTTACATATATCAGCCCAAATAAATGGTGGCTAAAATTTAAATACACCAATCCAGAACATTATCTTTGAAGAGAGAAACTTTAGCCTAAGCATTGAAAATCCTTTGTGTTATATGGACTATGCCATATTTGCTGCTGTGAAAATTACCAGAAGCTTTTTTAGTGGTTTAAAACAACACAAACATCTTATCTTAAACTTCTACAGATCAGAAGTCCAAAAAAGGTCTCACTGGGCTAAAACAAATAACTCAACAGAGTTATATTCCTTTTGGAGGCACTAGGGAAAATATTTTTTTTCAAGTCCTGTAGGCCATCTGCATTCCTTGACTTATGGTATCCACCTTGACAACCAGCAACATACGATCTTTAAGCGCACCTTCTCTTTCCCTATTACAGCAGGGTCCTTGTGATTACATAGAGCTCACTGCATATTTCCAGGATAATCTCTTTAGTGGAAGGTTAGGTGAAAATCAACCTGAATTTCCATCTATACCTTTAATTTCCCTTTGCCATATAATAGAATATATTCATAGCTCCATGTATGAGGACACAATAGTAACTCTTTGGAGGGCCATTATTCTGCCCACTACAACATCCATCCTTAAATTTTTTATCTGAATTGCAAAATAGAAATTACCAGAATTAAGACTTTATATTATGAATATTTCTCATTGGCCCAGAAAACATAGCCACTCTGGACCGCTATAGTAATTAAGTTCAAAAGAGCCAGATTATTTATCATTTATCATGTTTAACTTCATGGATAATTCTAAAACACAAAATTGTGCTATAGAGACTCAAGATTGCCAAAAACAATCCATTCCTTTATCAAGCATAATTGAAACAATGTTCTAAAATGCCATGGATCACAGAAACATAGATTTGGAAAACACCTTAAATTTATTGTACTCAAAATATACAATACGTATTGTATGGTTAAAATTTTAGTTTTGACTAAATTTTTGTAAGCTTGATTTTTAAATATTAATTCTCTGATTTTCTGCATAATGCACACCTAAGATGTATTTGGAGTTATAAAACTTAAAATCAAACAACAGACTTGCTAGTATGTGTGCACGTGTATGTGGGCTCTGTGGGTATATAGGGTTGGGGGTATGTCCCTCAGTGAGCAGGTACATGTGAACCTACTCTCAAAGGCAGTGAGAGCTGAGAGGCAGAAGAGGCTGACAAACCCAGTTTCTCAGGAAGAAACAATAAGGATTTACAAACAGAAGTAATAGGCCTGCCTAGAGCCAGTGGATTCCCATACCCACTTTCCAGAAAGTATCCTTTATACAGCAAACTTTTATAGTAAAGATATGTGCAACTGATCATGCCTCAGACTTATTTGCAAAGATCATAACCACTGGGGAGGTTAGAGAAACATCTTTTTTTTTTTTTTTTTTTTTAAGAGGGAGTTTCACTCTTGTTGTCCAGGCTAGAGTGCAATGGCCTGATCTCGGCTCACCACAACCTCTGCCTCCCAGCTTCAAGCAATTCTCCTGCCTCAGCCTCCTGAGTAGCTGGGACTACAGGTGCATGCCATCATGCCCAGCTAATTTTTGTATTTTTAGTAGAGATGGGGTTTCACTATGTTGACCAGGATGGTCTCAATCTCTTGACCTCATGATCCATGCTCCTCGGCCTCCCAAAGTGCTGGGATTACAGGCAGGAGCCACCGCGCCTGGCCAAGAAACGTCTTTATGAGGAGTTATCTACACTATAAGCATTGTTTCTTATGGGGGGTTGTCAATGCTACAGGAACACCTTGGTATGCAGGAGTCAAACGTTGATCATCATGGTGGTTTTGATTCGAGATGATGTTACCTTTACCATGCAATAGGCTGTTTTCCTAAAGGGGTCAAGATGGGAGAAGAAGCATTCTCAAAGACTGTATGCGACTCTATAATTCTTGTTTTTTTAGAAGCTTGACTTAAATTAGAGTTTTTTTTTTTTTCTTTTGAAAAAGAGTCTCACTCTGTCACCCAGGCTGGAGTGCAGTGGTGTGATCTCAACTCACTGCAACCTCCGCCACCTGGATTCAAGCAATTCTTATGACTCAGCCTCCTGAGTAGCTGGGACTATAGGTGCACACCACTATGCCCAGCTAATTTTTGTATTTTTAGTAGAGATGGTGTTTCACCATGTTGGCCAGTCTGTTCTTGAACTCCCAGCCTCAGGTGATCTGCCCACCTCAGCCTCCCAAAGGGCTGGGATTACAGGCATGAGCCACTATGCCTGGCCATAGTTTTAAATGATTTTAACACCTTTGGTAATCTTGGTGAAGTAAAGTATGACTTTTTTTCTGAATCTTAATGAATAATGAAAGGCTTTGGTCTTCTGCAATAAATTTAATATGAGTCCAGATTTGAGGCATTTTCTGGGTCAATGAGCAACTTTAATAAAATCCCATTTATGGTTTATAGAAATGAATACCTCTTTCTTACTCAAGTTACTTAGTTGTCACCCATAGTTAGAACGTTCACACCAAGCAGCACTAGCATTTCCAGATATGCTATGGCACTTTAGTTAAATTTGAATTTCAGATAAATAGATTTTTAATATAAGCATGTCAAAAATATTTCATAAAATATACTAAAAAGTAGTCATTTTTGGAGCTTCATAAAAAATTCAAATTTGATTGGACCTCCTATATTTTTATTTGCTAAATCTGAAAATCTTGGAGAATAAAGCTCATTCCAGACAATCCTGAGAACCATTTCTTCTTCCCAAGGTTGCCTCCACAGAGGTAGCTATAGTACTTAGGCCATCGGGTTTAGCTAATTCCAATTTCTAATTCTCAGAGAGAACAAGTTCAGATAGATCTTGTGCAAAGACCAGGGAAATCCATCTTCTTTCCGGACTGTCATAGCAGATAAACCCCTAGAAAGCTAATCACATTCTGCATGAGGAGAGTGCTATAAACGCTTCTGCCGGAAAGTCGAGGCAGTGGAAGAACCAAGTGTCAGGTATGTTGGAATTTGGAGAACAGATCGATTAAGGACCTTTCTCCTGCTGTGTTGAGGGTGTGCATGTGTATGTGTGTGTATGTGTATGTAGTTTAGCAACAACTTGCCTAGAATAGTGGTTCTTGTCATTAATTTTGAGGATCGTATATTCACTTCAAAGACTGATAACTATAAAAATGCAAGTGCATACAATTTTGCTGTTCTGCATAATTGTTAAAGAATTCAAGGGCCTGCTAAAGCTCATGAAATTTCGGTTGCAATTCTTTGTCATATATGTGAAAATATATTCTCAGATTAAATTTTGAAAAGGAAATACTGATAAACCTTTATGTTTTAATGCCTCACTTAAGGAATATTTATTACAACAAAGTATAAAAATATCTGCCCATAATCTCTTCTAATTGCTTTGAAATTTTGTTTCACATTGGTTTTATAACTTATATAGTTTAATTTGTATATGGTATACTAAATTTTCTTTTCCACATTAAAGCCAATTGCATAAACACCATTTATTTAGTAATCTTTCTTTCCCCCCTTAATGCACATCTAGTACATCAAGCTTCCATTTAAGCATCAGTCTTCTTCTTTTACCAACCATTCTTCATATGATTATATTTTCCTATTGAACTATTAATGGACGTTACTTCTTCATATGAATTTTTAAATCAGTTTGTACATTTCCACAGGAAAAATTACTTTTGAAATTATAATTGGAACTGCATTGAATATACGGAGTGATATGGAGAAAAGTTTTCATCATTTTAAAATTCGTATTCTCATCAACAAACGTCATACATTTTTCCCTTCAAATTTTCTTTCATGCCTTTTTATAAATATTTCCATTTTTCTCAAATGCCAGTAGTATATCCAACATCTTTGTGGAACCCTCTTAATACTTCCAACATCTTACCTTTTCCAGTTTGCCTGTAGGTGATTATGTTATCTGCAAATAAAAACTACCTTTGTCTCTTTCTTTCAGTTCCTTAAACTGAATTTATTTTTTATTGCTTAGTACATTATCCAGGTAACACAATATTGAATAGTGGGTATAATGTAGGAATTCCTGTGTTGTTCCAGGCTTCACAAATAATTTATTAAAGGATAACCTTATCCCACACTCTTCACTTTCCCATAAGCTTTCTGCTTTACAACACTATGGAGCTATTGGCACCACTTTAATAAACTGATGCATTTAGAAGAAACCAAGCATGCTCTAATCCTTCTTTCTGGGCTACTCTTCCTCAAAAGTACTTTCCCTTGGGCATCCTAGATTATGTGGGTATCCATGTAGCATTCATACTGAGACAGGCAGAGGGAGGCTTCTGTTTAGGTAGCAAGTTGCACAAGAGGAAAGAATTAGAAAATCAATACAGCTGCATATATAAGTCATTTTATTTAAGAATCTTTGTCAGTAATAAAGCTGCTGTATTTTATCCTTATCTTTGTGCTTCTTGTATCAATTTATCAATTGTTTTCAAAACTAAGAAGAGATAAAGCGGTTTCTTTCATGATCTAAAGGTAACATTGCACTATTCACCATTAGTTATTATTTTAAATATGTTTTAAATGCATGCTGTTAATCAGATTGTTTTCTTCTATTTCTAATTTGTTAAGTTTTTGTCATGAACAAATGTTGGAGTTTATCAAATGGTTTTCTACATCTATTGAGGCTCTCATTTGCTTGTTCTATCCTCCTTTACTAGTGTAAGAAATTACAATGAGATATTGAATGGCTTTCACATCCCTGTTATTGAATCCTACATAAAAGGAGAAGGTGGCCCGCCTCATTTTTCCATTGTCAAGAGCAATTTATCTAGGTTAAGGAGTCACTGTTTTTTTTTTTTTAACTTTGAACAAAATTATTTATAAAACAGGTTGTGTCTGGGGCCTTTTTCATATGGTTGATTATTACTCCTAATTTAACATATAGAGTGGCCATTGATGATACATGTATGTGTCAAAAAAATCTTACATTTCATGTTAATTTATCATATACAAAGCTATATCTTGTCAAAATTGCTATCTTTACTTATGTCTATGTTTTGTTTAAAACACACCGTATATAAAATTTCTCTTCTTTTTTTTATTATCTGTGTTGCCATAATTGCTGCTGTTTCCTTAGTCTTTCAAAGAACACACTTGAGTTTGTTTTTTTGTTTTTTTTTTGTTTTTTTGACCTCTGAACTTTTTATTGGCCTCCTGCTCCCCAAAGGGTCCCCTGCTTCTGCTGGCCTAATGTCTCAGAACTTTGGTGTCCTTGGTCTCAGACACCACTTTGCCATCCGCTAACCGGCGGGTGGTGGTCTTTTGGATGGTTTGCATGGAGTTGCTGCTGTCCAGGGCATCACTAAGACTGAAGTCCTCGCCATCTTCCAGCAGGCGGCGGTAGGTGGCTATCTCGGTGTCCAGCTTGACCCTGATGTTCAGCAGGGCCTCGTACTCCTGGGCCTGGCGCTGTCCTTCTGCCAGGGTCTGTGCCAGCTCTGACTCCAGGTGCAGCAGGATCCCATTGAGCTGCTCCATCTGCAGGGTGTAGCGGGCCTTCACCTCCCTCTGGCTGTTCTCCAAGCTGATCTTCGTATTTCTCATGGAGTCCAGGTCGATCTCCAAGGACTGGACTGTACGTCTCAGCTCCGTGAGCGTCATCTCAGCAGTTTCAACCTCAGTGGACTGTGTGGTGACCACTGAGGTGCTCTCCTCAGTCCGCTGAGTCCAGTACTTGTCCAGCTCCTCTCGGTTCTTCCGAGCCAGGTCGTCATATTGAGCCCGGATTTCTGCCATGATCTTGGAGAGGTTCTGAGATTTGGGGGCATCTACCTCCACGGTCAACCCGGAGCTGGCAATCTGGGCTTGTAGGCCGTTTACTTCCTCTTCATGGTTCTTCTTCATGAAGAGCAGCTCCTCCTTGAGAGCCTCGATCTCTGTCTCCAGCTGCAGCCGAGTGACACTGGTGTCATCGATGACCTTGCGGAGCCCATGGATGTCGCTCTCCACAGGCTGGTCCATGGCCAGCTCTGTCTCATACTTGACTCTGAAGTCGTCAGCAGCAAGACGGGCATTGTCAATCTGCAGAACGATGCGGGCATTATCCACAGTATTTGCGAAGATCTGAGCCCTCAGGTCCTCGATGGTCTTGAAGTAATGGCCTCAGTCTCTGACCTGGGGTCCCTTCTTCTCCAGGTGCTCCCGGATTTTGCTCTCCAGCTTCCGGTTCTCGGTCTCCAGGCTCCTGACTCTGTCCAGGTAGGAGGCCAGGCGGTCGTTCAGGCTTTGCATGGTCTCCTTCTTGTTCTGGATGCCTCCGATTCCTGCCAGACCCCCGGCCATCCCCGCGGCCAGGCCCCCGACCCCCATGCTGCTCCGGATGCTGGAGGAGCGCGTCACGGAGATGCGGGAACCAGAGCCCCCGGCGCCTGCATAGACGCTGGCCGCGCTGCTGACCGGCCGGGCGCCGTAGCTGGGCACCTGGACGGAGCCCACGGACCGGTAGTTGGTGGAGAAGGTGGAGCGAGTGGTGAAGCTCATGCTCCCGGAAGGAGAGCGAGAGGGCAGGACTCAGGCTTTGCCGACGACCCACACTTGAGTTTTATTGGCTCATTTATTAATTTGGTTGATCTTTTTCTAATGTCTTAAATCCTGAAAACTCATAATTCTTTATCCAGAGAAAGACTTTAGATCTGTATTATAGATCTTTCTTATACTATAAGCAACTCAAATTGAAATTCCAAAAGAATTTTTCTGCAGGAAAAAAACTAAATGTAAAAGTAATAAAATGCCATGAATACCAAGAAGGTTCATGTTAGAAGGAATTTAGACTCAGTCAGGTGATAATATACATAATACTTTGTCCCTGGACTAAGACAATGGCTAACAAGCAGAGAAATGAAAACCGACATTTCACATTCAAAATGAGTCAATAATACAGAAAGCAATCAACCAGTTATTCAGAATAATGAACATATAGGGCTTGACCAGAAGCTAATCCTTTCCTATCTGTGTCTCTATCAAAGGTATATGCAGTCTACCAATATGATTGAAATATTCATCATACATCATCGTGTTTATAGAGTGAAATTCTTTTCTGAAATACAAAGATTTGGAAATACAAGCATCAAATTCCAGCAGTGATTATCAGTGGACTTTGGCTATATTATGAAAAATGTATTGTTTGCAGTTGAATCCACCAACACCTTGGGTTAGTGTATGGCATAAAAAACAGTACAAAAGTAATAGCTTGGATGTTTGCTTTATACTATTTATTTCTAGGAACCTGATGATACACTTTAGAATTTCCTTTATTTTTTACAATTGACTCTTAAATGCGAGAACCAGGCTGAAGCACATTCTTAACATGTGTACAAATTCTTTCATTTCAGCATGGTTGTGCTTCTTTTGTGTTTAGCAAGGTGCATACTTCTGTATTTTTAGCTTCCAAGACTAGATAGAGAGACAGAAAGATTGGATACACAACTAATTAGTTGTGTATCCACAACTAGTTACCTGCAAATGCATCCTAAGGGTTCTGTATCAGTCTTAACCATATGTCATATACTAAAGAAAAATGTATAAGAAGCCTTTGTTATGTTACCAAATTATCTTTGACTGTCAGACCAGATATAAATTACAATTTTTTAACATTTATTTAGTTGTATAATTTGAATGAAAGTTTAGAAGAAGAGAGAATAAAAGCAAGCAACAGCATGGGGATAATAAGTGAGAAAACAAACAGTTTTATAGAGAAACCTAAAGGAGAAAGGGTAGAAGAACAAAGAAGTAAGAGAAAAGTGATTTTTTAAGAAATACGTCAAAATTTAAGAGACTATATATGCTACCATTGCACAGGTTTAAAAACCTTTCTGTTGACAGGATACATTATCTAGTCCAACAGTTTTTACTGGACTCCCTTATTCTCT